ATTTTTGTTCCTGATAAAATTTCCTATCGTCCTGCTTAAAAAAAATTACGCTAACATTAGCCGTTCAGTAGTTATTCAAAATTCAAAATTTGGGGGCCCCCCTGCCCCCCCAGGGGGCTCAGATTTTTGGGGTCTATGTCTGAATCGAATGTCTATAGGGTAGAGATGAATCCCTGAAATTTTCATGCTTTCTTCCAGAAGTGCACGATTCTTATGATATTTTCCACTTATCGGCCCCACTATTATGGGTGCTGACAATTTTTGCAGGGCTTGGGATTAGTTGGGAGAGAAGGGTTCTGGGTCGGAAGTTGAGAAGCATCTCGTTTGGAGCCTTGAGGGTGACGGTAGATGGTGTATTACGGTAATTGAATAAAAATTTGCTAACTGTGAGTAATAAATTGACTCGTGAATTGGGTGAGGATGCGGAGACTTCGTTGGATAACAGAATTTTTTCAAGCCCTCTTTTGGCAATTTGGACCCCCCTTTCGGCTAAGCCATTGGATTCTGGGCTGTAGGCTGGTGAATGTAATTTCTGTATGTTGAATTTAGTGCAGAAAATTTCGTAGTCGGTTGAGTCAAAAGGTGGACCATTGTCGCTAACTAAAATTTTAGGTAGGCCGAGCATTGCAAAAATATTAAGTAATTCTCTCTCGATATCTGGGAATGTGCTGGTTGGAGTCAATGCTATGTGTAACCATTTAGAGAAGGCGTCACAGAAAATGAAAAATTTAACACTTTTGAATTCAAATAAATCGATGTGGGATCGTTCTAATGGGAAAGTGGCTTCAGGCCACGGTACATAGGTTTTTTGGGGTTTAAAATTGACAACTGAACAGTTGGGGCACGCTGAGCACAAGTTTTCAATGTCTGTATTAAGAGAAGGCCACCATACTGAGGACCTTGCTAGCAATTTAGATTTGACTATTCCTGGGTGACCGTCATGAAGTAACTTAAGTACCTTATTTTGTAATGTCGCTGGAATGACTACCCGGCTTTGAAATACTAGACAGTTTTGGGCTAGGCTTAGCGAGTCTTGTAATTTAAAAAATTTCTGAATTTCGGGATTGTCCTTAAATTTTTCTCTTGGAGGCCACCCTACCTTAACGAAATGAAATACTTTACTTAGAACTACGTCCTTTGCTGTTTCTGTTGCTATCAGATCTGGGGTGATGGGAATAAGATTAGAAATATCTACATGGAAAATTTCTTCTATAATGTTATTGGTAGGTAGTCTAGATAGGGCATCTGCTG